TTATTGTATACTTTCTAAAGTTATCTAGCTAATGCACACTGTCAATATATTTGTATTGGCTCTTTTCTTATTTATTAAATTATTTTAAAGTGCTTAACTGCTTTCATACATGAAATTAACTACTTCAACGATACTTATTAATTATTGTATATTTTCTACTTCCACTATCAAAATATGTTTATCCCTCAATTGACTGATAAAATTCCAACATCTTAAAGACTTAAGGAAATTTTCATTCCATGTTATATCTAAAATGTTTATCTGTATTCAAAAGTAAACATGCAGAGATAAGCAATAAATCTCATAGGTATGCCTTGTTTCTACTCCTCATTTTAATGACTAGCTAGGATGGTAACCTCTGTGATCACAATTTATTGATCATACACAATTATCAGACAGTATATTGAATATCAGACAAAATATTGAAGTAGGCATTTGGGAATTTGGCCCTCCAAAGGCTGAAGCCAAAGCTAAATATTTAATTTTTATTGAATACTAAGCCTGATGCCAAACTTCACATATATCAAAAGTGTTGTTTTTAAAGATTGCCTCTTTGAATATCTACTAAACAATGTATGAAGGGTGAAAGAACAAAAGGGCACACTTTCTGGAGGTCAGCATAACCTTAGGAGCTGTAAATTCCTTCCGTAGTAGGACAGACATGACCCCTTGCCCTCCTGGAGGCTACAGTTCTGTGGGGATATCACAAAGTGAACAAATAATCACAAAAATAAATATGTAACTGAAAACTGCAATATATTCCATGAAGGATACTGCAAGGTGCTTTGAGACTCAAGGAAAGTAATTTAGATAAGTCACGAAAAGCCTCTTTGAGAAAATGGCACGTAAACTGAGAGCTCAAGGATATATGGGATTTAGTCAAGGGAAGCATGGAGAAAGAATATTCCAGACAGAGAGAAGAAATTGGTTTAACCTTGTAGAAGGATGATAGACAGCCAGTGGAGCTAATGAGACCAAGTCAGCAAAAGAGTAGCAGAAGTTTCTGTAGGGCTTTTTAGGGGCTAGACCTACTAAGATCTGACAAAGCATGTTAACAGTTTTTGATTCTATCAGGATACAGAGGAAGGCATCTGAAGGGTGTAAATAGGAGATTTTAATTTTTTAAAGATTGTTCATGCTGATCAATGGAGAAAGGACTGGAAAGAAGAATCAACAAGTTAGAATATTTAAATAATTTTTCTTAGAAATGAACTTTACCCATCCTCACCCATGCTATTAGAATTTTCTTGTTTTTTGCAGATTGAAGAATTTACCATTCTCATTTACCAAACTTAAAGAGCTTGCAGCTTTGTGGCTTTCTGATAATCAGGTACAAACTTTTATTACCTGATTTATTTTGTTTATTAAAATGGACTATAATCGAAACTTTGAATTACTTAACTTGTCATCAGTAGATACCTTTGACATTCACTATGAAATATAGATTCTTATTCCCTGGAGGAGAGATTTTTGTAAAGGTAGCATGCAAACGTTGCTCTACACAAAACAGTACTATAAACCCTACCCTCTTTAAATACTTCTATATAACATCTACTTCATTCTCAGAGATCTAATACACAAAGTGACTATTTTTTTTAACTTTTTAGCTCTACTTTCTTTAGGTTAATGAAAATAGATTATAATTGAATCAGTAATTGAGTGTTAATGAATAATTTTATTAACTGGAAATAACAAGGAACAATTGAAGACGTCTGATTTGCCACCAGAAGAACTGATGATGGACAATTTTGATATAGTTTATTAATCTTTCTTTTCCTTGTGTTACCTAATAATTTTATTAACTGGAAATAACAAGGAACAATTGAAGACGTCTGATTTGCCACTAGAAGAACTGATGATGGACAATTTTGATATAGTTTATTAATCTTTCTTTTCCTTGTGTTACCAAAATATCAAACACCTATTCAAAAATATGAATGACCAAATTAAAACAATCCATCTTGAATTTAGTTTATCATTATTTTCTGTACATAAAAATAGCATTACTGGTAAATGAATTGTTCATACTTCTAGCTATTGGGCTACTTCGTGAAAAGTTAAAAATAACCTCTATAAAGTGTGGAATGTAAATGTAAGAATAATGTTTATGTTCCCACAGTCATTATAGCATTTGCTTTCATCAACTGAGTAAAAAATTAGATTGTCATTCACATCTAAATCTTATCAGTAACTATAGATTTTTCAAGGCATCAGTATATCATTATAAGTAAGTCATTTCTGGAATGATTTGTGAACTATGCTAATGAAACAATCTATTAATATCATGATTTGTTATTCTTGTGGGAGAATGAGCAGAACAGTGACTGCATCGTTTAACTTTTATTTAGAACACAGTTTTAATGTATTTCTGACTCCATTTCATGAGACAAGCTGGTATCCGTAATCCCCTTTGTGCTTCACTCCTATTAATAAATGTCATAAAATAAGCAGATTTTCAATACATTAGATAATATGATCATTTCCAATATATTTCTGGCATATGATATCAGAGTTCTAAAAAAATTCTACAGAGAATGATGTTGATATTAAAGATATTACCATTAGCCTATTTGCAGCAACTTGGATGAATTTAGAGAAAATTATGTTAAGTGAAATAAGCTAAGTATCGGAATGAAATTCTGCTATTTGCAGCAACTTGGATGAATTTAGAGAAAATTATGTTAAGTGAAATAAGCTAAGTATCAAAAGAGAAATACTGCATGTACTCACTCATGAGTGGGAGCTGAAAAGAATAAAAATAAATTAAAAAGAAACAAACAAAAAACAATGATACAACAATCAATAATTAATTGAACTCTCAAAAGGAGAGAATTGAACTGAGGACACCTGAGGTGGGAAAGGAGGAGTGGCAGGGGAGATTAGGGAGAAATTGGTAAAGAGTCACAAAATATGTTCACATTGTGTAATGATAAATTTTTTTAAAAGAAGGAAAAATAAATAAATAAAAATTATTCAAAATAGTATTTCCAAAATCAAATTAATAATAGAGAATAAAATATGGCCATAGATAAATATATTGTGATATTTAAGATACAGGTAAAGTTGCTTATGTGTATGTGGACCCTATCTTTGGTTATAAAATATATCTCTTAAAAATAAATGAATGCTTATGTTTTAGCCTAAATAAATTCGTAGATGATCTTGCATAGTGTGAATCTTTCTAGGACAACAGTTCATGAAAATGAATAAGCATATAGAACCACGTCAAAAGCTTACTTAGTGAAAACATTTAACACATTTTGATCTCTTCAGGATTAAAACGGACATTGCTCAGTTCAATAGGTTTTGGTAAATCTTGTAAAACAGTGTACTAAAGAAGAAAACCTCATTGTGAAAACCTTAGAAATTGAAAATATTCCTCAACAATAGTCTGATTTTACATAATACTTTCTTAGTCCTTTTCTTTTTTTCCTCATTTTTCCCTTTATTGTTCATTTATCTCTGTGAGGCCAGACTGTTGACCATTATCTTATACAAAATAAATATTTTTCATATTTGCAATTTTATTAACCTAATTTATATGTTCTTTGTTTCCAGTCTAAAGCCCTTATCCCTTTACAAACTGAAGCCCATCCAGAAACAAAGCAAAGAGTATTGACTAACTACATGTTTCCCCAGCAACCTCGTGGTGATGAAGGTAATTTGTCAGTACAAATTTTTCCTATACCTATAATGATTATGGGTAAAAAGGATTAATTTTATTCTGACGACTGGCCAGGAGAACTGGTTCATGGGCAAGCCTGTAATTACATGACACACGTGTCTCATTTGGGGGCTTACTCTAATCATGAGTCTTATCTTTTATGCAATAATATTTTAAGTAAAATTCCAAAAACAAAACTCTTTCTCTTTATATCCTACATGAAAATAATGTTGACTTTTAGGAGCAACTTCTTCTCTTGGTGGATGACAAGACCCAGGACTAGTTAACCAAATGTGGTGCCCAGCTAATTGAAACAAGCTAAGGCCAGTCAAATACTAAGGAAGATTCAATGAGCTGGTTTATTTCCTGTTTACTTATTGCATGAACAGAATTTAAACATTTAGTTCAGTAATACCAGGCCCTAGATTATTTCATGTTATGCATCAACCTATCATAAAGAGATGGCTTGCAAATAATAACCATTCTCTCTTTTTTAAGTTGTTTCCCTAAACAGTGTCATCAACTATAATAGGAACACTTTTTTAAAACCTAAATCTTTTTCAATAATTAAATCTTGTATCCAATGAAGACATCATTTATAAAAATTTTAAAAGAGGTTTGTCCTTTACTATTTGAAACTTAGCATAGGCTCTTTAGCCCAAGCCAGCACAGGCTACCATGCACATTTTCTACAGTTGTAGAGTAACAGTAATGCTCGGAAGAGTAAACCCACTTTAATCTACCCATGGATTAAATTCACCCTATGCATTGGAATGAGACCAACCAACTTATAAAAGAAACCACTTGTTTATTTTCAGGGGTAATTACAATAAATGGCTTTAGTCTTTGACTTCCAAATGTAAGTGAATCATTTTGGGATATTTACATTCAAATTTTGACTTACAGAAATAGGAAAAGGAACGATTATTTTGATATATATTTTTCAGACTTCAGTAAAATTGATCTTTTGAATTTATAAGAGAAAAACCACCACATTTACATATCATATAAGAAAAGTCTTAAGGATTATGTTTTATTCATGCAGATTTACTTATATTTTCTTACTAATATCCCTAGATTATCAAAATATTTCATTTCAAAAAGATGTAGGGACAAATGGAAAGTGTCATCTGAGATCCAGTCTCAGATCAAATCCCTAATTTGTCCCAGGGTGTGAGATAGATTTAGTTAGGTAAGGTGTAGTATTAAGAAATTAACCTAGTTGGGTGTTTTCTTTTCCTTTGAGGAAAGAAAAGTTGGGAATTGAAAAGTTTTCTTAAACTTCAAGCAAGTCACTCTGTGGTTTTTCAGGCACGAGTATAATAAATGAATTTTCATAATCCCTTGCAGCAAACAATGGAATATATAATAAAGGCCATCCTTTGGAAAATAATTAGCTTAAACTAAGTACTTTTATTGCTTTTTCATGTGATCTTCACAGGAATGTTTCAAAGAAGATATTACCATTAGCCTATTAATTTACATTTAATTGATGTAAAGATTTATAAGCCATTTTCCCTGTTGATTTGAGATACATTTAAACTAATAGAAACCTTAATGTTAAAGACTAAGTTTTCCACATGTTCTCTATCCTAAAAACAAGCTCCCCTCCATTGCCCCAACATACAGTCTAAATTTTTTTACAAGCTGCAGTCTTAAGTACGTTATTGCAAAAATCAATGTTACATAATATATTTTTTATTTTTATTTTTTCCTTTTTGTCTTTTTTACTGACCGGTAACGGGATCGCAACCCTCGGTGTTGCGCCCACACCATGCTCAGCCAGTGAGCGGGAACCAGTCTCCATATGGGATCCGAACCCTCAGCGGGAGCGCCGCCGCACTCTGAAGCGGCGCACTCTCCAGTGCGCCACCGGGCCGGCCCCATAATATTTTTAATAAAAGAAGTCATGATAGAGGTTAGTGGTTGCAAACGTGGGCTCTGCAATCACACAGACATGAAATAGATACTGCATTACCCACGGAGAAGCTGTATGACTTTGAACAAGTCTCTTAAAACTCAGCTACAGTTTTCTCATTAGGAAAATAAGGATGATAATACTGCCACTGTGCTGTTGTGAGGATTAAAAGTGATAATGTTTAAAGTGCTTAGTCCAGCTGTATATATTATTACTGTTATCCAATGGAGAGCACATTCTCTACACCAAAAAACTTCCCAATCCCAATATGTAATTAACGAATACTTTAGGAAAGCTGAATTTAAGATGTAAAAGGCCGTGTAATAAATATCAAGGGAATTTTATTCCTTCTTTTCTCTTTCTTTTCTTCTTTCTTTCTGCCTTTCTTTCTTTTTTCCTTCTTCCCTTCTTCCTCTTTCTTTCCTTTTCCTTTTATTTTTTATTTTTGTGTTTGTTTATAGTACCTATCACCAATTTTTTGCATAGTGTATTGAGCCCTGTTAATAACACTCTATGTAAAAAAAAGCAATAATACTTTGGAATCTAACTGTAGATTTCCAGTCAGACAGTGACAGCTTTAACCCTACACTGTGGGAAGAACAGAGACAACAACGCATGACTGTTGCCTTTGAATTTGAAGAAAAAAAAGAAGATGACGAAAATGCTGGGAAAGTTAAGGTGACCATTTTAGCTTTCATTTCTTCTTTCTCCTTACTCCTTTCTTTTTCCCCATTGTTATTATTCAAATAGATTTTGGAGCAAATGGAGTAACCTCTGCTAGAAGGTCAGATACATCTTCAGGTCTCACGGTGGTACCTTTTATTACAGCAGCAGGCTGGTCATTCTGGAAGCAGTGGTGTGCTTCAGAAAGAGACTAATGTCCCAATTTTGACTGGACAAATTTGATATGCCACCTCATCCTTCAGAATAACAATATGAGAGAGATTCAAGCTGAGAGAAATTAAAAAAAAAAAATCTGGGTAATGGACTTTACCTAAGCATCTTATTTCATCTTTGACACCCTGCAATGGTTTTCTTTTAATCACTGACCAAGGCATCATGCAGATTGTATGAAGCCAAAATACACATTTATGGAAGGGCCAACTGATTAACATGTTACATTGGCATTAAAATCTCTGAACAGTGCTATGTCTCTGGGGTACTTGAGAAGAATATATGACTTCCCTTAAATATGAAGGCAGGCTTTAAAGAAGGTAAGTACCTAATGGCAGGTGATGTTCCTTAGGGAAAATAAATTTGATTTTTCACCGCAAAGCATATTATTAAAAAAAATCTATGTCAGGTAAAAAGGTTGAATTTTAAAATTTGATATTATTTAAAATATCAAATATCATCAGAATTGATTTAGATTTTATCATCAGATGTTCATGTTATTGTATGGCAACAACTTGAATCTCTCATTAATTTTTTATAATATTATTTATGCACTTTTTTCATCACAGTACTAACAGTTCTCACTCTTGCTGACTAACTACCTAAATAATTGTGTATACATCCTATTAATAAATCTAGATTGTTATATGTTCTTTTCTGTACCCTCCTTCTCACATTTTCTAAACTGTATTTCTTAAACCAACATGCTATAGAACCTTACTAGTATTTGACAGTAAGGTAACTGCACACATGCTGACAAGGCCTACCTATATTCACTATGGAGAACCCTAAATGGATTCCCAAATCCAAAATGACAATTTCATTAAGGATTTGGGTATAAAAAAAAATGTTTCTCGATGGTTGGTTAGTGCTATCTAACAACCAAAGAGACATTTTTTTAACTTGTGAATTCCTGGAAAAAATAATGCTAAACTAAAAACAAACAAACAAAGCTTTAGAACATTTCAGTTCTTTTAATAATTTCATGCGTTAAATCCAGAATCAATGGATGATGCATTCTATACTGAACGTCTGATGCATTTTTATATTTCATTGAGTTGCCAAAAACTACATGCTTCTTCCTGAAAATCTATATTCAAAGGCTTCAAGAATAAAAGAGTGCATTTAATATATTCTAGTATATGTGCCAATGAAAACATAAAATATACAAATACAAAGTTATTTAGAAGCCCTGTTTGTGTAGTATATGATCAAATTTGTTTATAATCAGAGTAGGTTCATTATACTTTAGAGGGTTTTTTCTAGGTTTATTTATATACTGGTGAAACAAAGTATACTTCCAAAATCTCAAATTACCTGGCTTTGACGAATTTGAAATTCCCAATGCCATTGTCTGTTGGACAAATTAGAGCACAAACTTCTAGATAAATCATCGTGGAAATATAATAAATAAAATATATTGAAATCTTACACTAAATTAATCACACTTTTCTGGTTCATTACATGTACATTAAATTTAACACCATTTTACATTTAATTTACATGAATAAAAAGGAACGATTGCAACTGTCAAATGGACTAGAGTATAATGCCCTACTTATAGTATGTATAGGGTAGTATGAATGATGCATTGTATAAAGAAATTGTCACCCTTTAGCTTCATAAGATATTGATACTGCTTTATTACATGGATTTAAAACTAATTTTATGATGGTTGTTTTAAATGCATTACCCAGAGTGAAAGAAAAAAATTGAGAATAGAAAAATGATAAAGTGAAAGTATTGCTACAGTGCTCCTCTTTCTCCCAGAAAATGGAGATTCCTTCTCCCACAGGATCTCTCCTGCCAAGCCCCCTGGGAAAGGGGCCAGCGTGGGATTACTCTCCAACCTGCCAGACTGTCTGGCGATTGCTGCACACCATGGGCCAGGTGTGATCAGCAGATCCAAGATATGCCCGTCCCCCAGAATGACCCACAGCTGGCATGGGGTTGTATAAGTGGCCTCCAGCAAGAAAGGAGCATGTGTACTCCATTGCCAGTGGCAGCACAGTCCACCACTCTTCCCTCTCTAAGTGGCAGACAGGTAGGCCTAGGTGTTTGGGGTAGGCGAACCCCCCATGTAGAAGCAACCTTGGAACAGTGGTTAATGGGGTATGTTTTGCATGATTTGGGGTAAAAAAATGTTGATCACATAGAAACCTTCAAATTGCCAATGTTGGATCCCAATTTAATTTTTTGATTATATATTGACATTGGCAATGGGGTGGGGCAGATTAAATCAGAGGGGAGGGAGCATCATGTGAGGTGCCTATTGGTGGGGATATCTGGCATGGTTTTTTTAATTTGGGTGCTTCGTTTTTATTTATTTATTTATTTATTTTTAAAGACTTTTTTTCTTTAATTTAAAGTGTGGGAATACCAATAGTTGGGCAGAATGTTGATGACACTATTAATACAATCCAAATTGTCCCTTCCACCATACGCACATTTTTTTAATGATGTCAATTCTGGGGGAGATTAAATAGTTAAAATTTGATTCTTAAAATAGCATAAGATTTAAATTGAGATTTGCTGAGAGTGGACTTTGAGCACAAAGATAGACATCTGTTGAAGAGCATCAATTTCCTTTAATTTGAAGACACCGATGATATGAATTCCTATAAGAGAAGATTGACTTAGGAGTTGTAGCAAATAGGGCTTCCTTATCTCAGTGGAGCACAAAGATAGACATCTGTTGAAGAGCATCAATTTCCTTTAATTTGAAGACACCGATGATACGAATTCCTATAAGAGAAGATTGACTTAGGAGTTGTAGCAAATAGGGCTTCCTTATCTCAGTGGGTTGGGTGTTGAAGAGGTTAATGGGGAAAAGAAAAAAACATGTCTTAATGGAATATAAAAGAACACTGCATTTTTTGTAAACTTTCTCATCCACATATAATGGACTATATTCTTATTCTGTGTCTTATATTTTTTCTATAATATAAGGCAAGCTAAGAATGCATTTTCCTAACTAAAACATTTTCCTTGTAGGTTTCCTTTCTTTGTAAAATATTTCAGTTAATTCCTAGAATAAGGTAATATTTAACAATCAATGATTGAAGCATTAACTATTTTTTTCTCTTACTGGAATTTACAATCAAATTAAAATTTAATTATGATATGAAATATAATATATTATATTATATAAGTATAATATAATATGTGAAAAACACAGTTCTATATAAATTTAAGATATCATTCCTAAATGCCCTGCTGCTAGCATTAAGTAATTCTTTATTGCTAAGTTTTGGGGTTCTCCAACATCTTGCAGCTGCTATTTGCATTTACTGCACTTTTTTTAGATCTGAGATATATAGAATGTTGTGAAACACTTCTGTTTTACAAAATTAAAACAAATTAATATTTCAGTAAAAATTTTGCATTTTAATAAAATGTATATGTGAGATGAGCAAATACTTTATAGTGAGTGATAAAACAATTTTATAAGAATATAATTGATAGAACTTTTCACTTATGTGTATAATAAATGAATTTATTTTTTATCCCATATTAGAAATAAGGAAATATTTCAAGCCTATATATTTAGAAATATGAATAAACTGCTTTAGTATTGAGTATTACTAAACTATTGGTATAACTGGGCTTATGATCATGTTTATTCATCTTTTAAGCACAGCATACATGAGTTTAAAAGTAGGAAAGCAAAATGATCTGTAAAGGGGCATAAAATATGCTTGTATAGGGATTACAAACAGAATTATAAAATATTATACTTTCATTTTTAAAATTATAAAATATTGTTACTTTACTTTATTTTTTAAATTTGAAATTATCCTGTTATATAACTCAATTCACATTTTAGACTTTCTTCCACAACATTGTACAAATATGTGCTGCACTTATGCAAGGGAATGTCTCTAAGCTAAGTAATACTTGTGTAGTATAATCATTGGTGTCAGAAAGATGAGTTTCAACCTGGGCATTGCACCTATTAGCTATATGACCTTAGGCAAGTTACTTGCACTGTCTGAGCCCCAGTTTTCTTTCTGTAGAGTGGGAACAGCTGCTGGCCACTTAGCTCAGTTGGTTAGCACAGTCTTGTAACGTAAAGTTCAAGGGTTCAGACCCCATGTTGGCCAGCCCCCCCAAAAAAATCATCAGGTAGGATAATTCTTACCTGTTCCTCCTTTTGGAGGGCAGATAGAATATTGATTTGATCATCACATACTGCACACAAATACCTATAGTCAACTCTGTACCCCATAAATATGTATAAATAAAAATAATTTTAAAAAATTAATCATTTAGTATTTAGCATGTAAATATTAATTTATATCTTAACCTATAGGATTAATAATTAGTATTATTGTTTATTATATAAATAATTAATAATAAATTAAATATCCCTATAAAACGTTTAGCATGGTGCCTGGCACATGGTAGATACTGAATAAATAACTATTGTTGCATACAACCTGAAAAAAAGATCCAGACATTTACAGGTATTAAGGTTAGATACGTACAGAGTAGAGCCTAGATTGCCAAAGTAATACAGATTTTGAAAGTAGATGAGTAAAATCTGATATTAGAAATAGTATCTAATCTCTGCATAGAACTTACATATTTTCAAAGGACCTTCACATTTTCTCACTTTAGCTCTAGATTAACCCAAATATGTGGGAAAGATATTATCATTCCCATTTCACATGAGTTGAAACAAAAGAAAGATAAGCAGCTGATAGCTAGTTGGGGGGTTAATCTGTGCCTTAAATGTACAACTTTTGAATCCAAGTCC